TTAATAGAAAAGAAGATAAGCTTATTGGTCTATATGACTTTGGTGTTAGGTCTGATACTTTACCTACCTTAGGCAAGTATATGACTTTAACCTTTTGCCATATTTCCGGTACGACCCCCCATGCTAAACTGGCTTTGAGGAGCTTACATAGGTGTGGTATCAATTTCTCTAATCCCATATGCCACAGTATTGGATATGTGCCATCTGTCCCTGGACAGAAGTTATATGACCGAAACTTTTTTTTTTGGTTTTTTTTTGGTCATCGAAACAACAAGTTAGGTCTTGTGATTGCTGTGGCTATTTCCCAATATGTAGACCTTGGCCTAGTAAGCCTTTGGTCTATGTTGGTTTGCCTATCTGCATCATCCAGAATTGTTGAGCCCGGAAAGTGCGTGTTTATCAGTTTTGTAACACTTTCTTCTTTGGTTTCCGTAAATTTGCCATTAGCTTGCTTTAAGAAACCTACTTATTTCAAAACTTTCTCCACAAATTCCTTTTAGCTTTCGGAATTTCTTTATTGTATAGCGTTAGCTTATACCTCTAGGCATCCCAATCTTGGTTACTTTTGGCTTTATTATATAAGCTTCGGACTTCTGACCTCATCCTCTTGAAGCCGGTGTTCCACCAGACTGTATTACTGCCCGTATATTTCCTTGTTTTTTCTGGACAGTTTTCCTGGTAAGCCGCCATAACAGCTTTGCTTATCGTTTCTGCCGCCGAATCTATAACCTTGTATGACATATAATATATCAGAATTTACAAGGATGTTTATTTTATAACTTAAATAAAAACATGTCAAATAAAAATATAACGGTATAATTATTATAATATTGTCGTTTATTTAGAAACATAAAATTTTACTGCCTCGTAAAACATAAATAATAATTACACACTTAAAACAAATAATAAAAATGCATTACAAAGTAAATAAATACGTATTAATATGACGTATGTGCCTATTGTTCGGAAACTAGGTTCTCAAAACTAGGCTCTGTATACTCAAGGTTTAAGAAATTTCTCACTTTCATTTTAATAGCAATCCCTTTGGTCTAAAACTGAACTATGGAAAAAAGTCTACGTTTAATAGTCTCATGGCATTTTTAAGGGGTCATTTGACCCAGTCTGAATTATCTATAAATCAATAATACAATAGGTACAAAACAATACAATAACTTTAGAAATTATGCCGTCAATTTTTATCGGTACAGGTATTTACTCTGGTAAGTTAAACTTCCCACTCAAGATGAGGCATTTTGGTCAAAAATATTTGTACGGCATTCATAACTTAAGTAGGTAATACAAAAATATTGACCTGCGACCTGTTGCCGTACAAAAATATTGGTAACAGGAGCAGGGACAATCTTTGATTTTCTGAAATTTTGGCCCCATTTTCGGTAATCTGATACAGTACAGGCATTTAAGTTAGGTAGCGACGACCTAGTAAGTCACATTCATGCGCTCATCAAAGACGTATGGCAAGAAGAGAAAATACCAGACGACTGGAAGAAAAGTATATTATGCCCGATCTATAATAAAGAAGACAAACTCCAGTGCAAAAATTACCCTGGAATTTCTTTACTATGTACACCATATAAAGTCCTCACGTATATTATAAACCAGCGGCTCCAACCTTTAGCAAAAAATAATATTGGAGAGTATCAGATGGGCTACCGTCGGGGAAGATCGACACTGCATCAAATATTTACAGTCAAACAGATCTTGGGTAAATTATGGGAACATGACATTGATGTTCAGAACGTGTTTGTAGATTTCAAACAGGCATATGACTCAGTCAAAAGAAACAAACTCTACAATATTAGCTGAATTGGCAGTACCACACAAGCTAAAAGGACTCATTAAAGCCGTAATTGATGAAAGTCCGGCATGTGTACGAATACAAAACCACCGAACAGACTTTTTTAAAATTTCGCAGGGATTAAAGCAGGGAGATGGGCTGGCCCCAACTGGCAAACTGGACGAGGAAACCTACTGACCAAATGAACGGTTCAACTGGCCGCTTGTGCCGATTATATTAATTAACACAGAAAAAACAAAAATAATGATACAGGCGAGAAGAAATATATTCCCACAAAATTTTATACATGAAGATGACATTGAATTGGTTGGAAAGTTTACATACCTGAGAGTAGAAATATATGACGACGGATCAAAAGATGGAGAAATACGGAAGAGAATGTCGCCAACAATTAGAGCTTAATTTGCCCTCTCCCATATATTTCGGTCTAAAAATGTCTCGTTGGCCGTCATCATGTTTACAATTTCCTGAAACCTTTCTCTGTCGGCTGCTGCGCGAAATAATTCTTCTACTGTGAAACCACACCATTGTCTAATATTACGCAGCCATGAAAGTTTCTTTCGACCAATCCATCTCTTTCCTTCCACTTTTCCTTGTATAATAAGGCGAAGTAAATGGTATTTGGGTCCTCTAATTATATGGCCGAAGTATTCTGTTTTTCTCCTCTTTATGATGTTTATGAGCAGACGTTCTGAGTTGATCATTTGAAGAACATCTTCATTGGAAGTGTGCGAAACCCACGATATCTTTAGGATTCGTCTATGGCACCACATTTCGAATGCTTCTAACTTGTTTAGCATTGTGGTTTTTAACGTCCATGTCTCACAACCATACAATAGGATCGACCACACTTAACATTTCGGGACCTTCTTACGAATGTTCATTGACATGTTTCTGTTGCATAAAACTGGTTTCCAGGTCATAAAAGCCTTACGTGATATTTCGATCCTGGATATTATCTCTTCATCAGAGTCACAATTTACATTTAACCAGCTGCCAAGGTATTTGAAATTATTTACCCTTTCTATCTCTTCTCCATTAAGAGAAAGCAGACCTTGATCTATATGGATCTTTCCAACTGCCATCCACTTTGTCTTTGAAATGTTGATTTTTAGGCCTCTCTGATAACTTGCTTCACTGACTAGATTTAGTAATGTTTGGAGATCTTGTAAACTTTCTGCAAGAATGGCTGTATCGTCAGCGTATCTAATATTGTTGATTACTTCTCCACCTAGTCTTACTCCCTCTTGTCTGTCATCCAAAGCCTCCCTAAAGATTTCTTCAGAGTACAGATTAAAAAGAGTGGGTGACAAAACACAACCCTGCCGTACTCCTAGATGAGAATCTATAAAACCTTAATTTGACCAATAGGATGCTATGGCAGTGAAGTATGGGTCCTGAAAGAGAGAAACATTCGAAAGGAAAGTACTGAGCGGAATACTAGGGAATACCTGTGAGGGAAAACGAAATCTTGCAAAGTCGATACAACAACGAGCTTTATTAACTTTATAAGGAAGTACAACTGTCTTCATTGGAATACAAAGATTGCAATGAGCCGGACATGTGATAAGAATGGGAGGATAGGCTACCAAAAAGAGCAGAGCTACCAGTCCCTCTGGTAAGTGGGATATTAAGATCAAAAATTTCTGTACGGCATTGATAGATTTCGGTTTGATATTTGGATTGATTCGGTTTCTTTAAGGATTCCTGTTCTAAAATGTTCCCTTTAAACAAATCATAAGGGTGCTCGGCAAAATTTTTAAGCATAAATTGTATAACAATTTTTTTATGTATTTAATCATTTTATCGTAAAATGATTTAAAAAAATTTAAAGACCCAAAAGAAAATTTATTCAACAATTTTTAGTTATTTTTGTTAACTTTTTTTCATTTAACAATAAAAAGTTACAACAATATGTCTGCCGCGGGACAAGGGTGGCGACCAAACAAACCTGAAGAACATTTTTATTTTATTTCCAGTTCTTCGTGAAAATTATTTTTCTTGTTTTCCCTTTTTAGCATTTCCAGTAATTTGAATCTAGTTTGCAGAAATTGCTGTGTCTACATAATATGTCGGAATGTCACCTCTTTCTTTAGTTTAATTTTCGTAAAACTCTTTTTTGTATATCCCATTTTATCGTGCCAAGTTCTGTTATACGTAGCCTCTGGGTTTTCCTTTAGTTATATCCAACCAATTTAACAGCTAGCAGGTATGTTAATTTGGTTCTAAAAACTATATATAGGCATTGGTGAGGTGGTGCAATAGGAGTAAATTTAATTCTCATGTATAATGATGTACCTCCACATATCAGCAGAAAGACTACAGACTTCGTTTGAGCAGAAAATATGACTATTCTGGAGTGGCCTGCTTGATCACCCGACCTTAACCCAATAAATCATTTTTGTGGGATATGCTTAACAGAAAAATTAGAGCTCGCCACGATCATCCATAAAACATCGTACAGCTAGTACAAGTTGCTGTTGAAGGATGGAACAACCTACCACAACAAAATGTTGACAATTTGTTTAGGAGCATGCCCACGTGAATTGAAGCTTGTGTAAGGGTTAGGGGTGGACTAACAAAAACATAAATAAATAAAAACAATTTAAACAGTATTGATTTCACATTGAAATTTTGTATACTATTGAGTTTGTAATAAATAGTTTTAATATGTTATTTCAAGAATTTATCGTATTTTTTAATTTTTATGTATTGGTGATTAAATTGCTTTAAAATAGATAATCGTTTGACATCGCATGTCGGTTTTTTTTCACCTAAGTTTGGTTGTGTATAAACGTATGATAAATTAAATTTTTGTTAATTCCTTCTAATTTAGTCTCCACGTGCTCTCATAACTTTTCCTCTCGTTGTCTTGTTATTTTTCTGTATTGATTTTTTCTGTATTTTACTTCACATGTCGAGTATTTTTCATTAAACTTTTAAAGAAATTGTAAGTCCTTGAATGTGTGAATAGTTTATTCGTTAATTACTAAAATTTGTAAAAAAGTATATAAAGTGATTTAAATTGCATAGACTTAATAACCGGAAATATATTGTATTAAAACAATTAATTAATATGTCTATTCGCATGCAACAATTGAATCGTAAGAATATTTTATATGCCAAAATACTAACCTCACGTATTTTAAAATTATAAATTATATGTTCTCTTGCAGTTGCAAAAATGAAAGAAATTTCAGTTGATGAACTATACAAAAAAGACGACAAACTAAAAAAAGAAGATGTGCAGTCTTTAATGGAATGGATGGAGAAGCAACCACATTTGCCTAAAATTTCAGGTAATTTACTTTCATAGATAATTTTCTCTATGTGAATTTATAATAATAGTAATTACTCATTGGATAATTGAGCTGTTGATTCTAAAATGTAACGATTATTTTACCTTCCACATTGGTATCATTATAGGGAATTGCGAACAGAAATTACGGGGCTGAAGATAGGGTAAGCAAAACAAACCGAAATGTTTGCGAACGGCTACTCAGATTTTTTTTTGAGAGCTGGAAGACTGGAATGGGATAATTACAAAACTGAATCAAAAAGGGGTACTTACATGGATTTCCTGTACAAACACAACACAAGAAGGTTCTTAAGCTATTTAAAATAAGGACGCGCTTACAAGAATCTTCCTGCTGGGTGGAAGAAAGGCTTTTCTTTCTTAAAAAATATAAAAAAAGGGTTAGAAACTTTTTAAAAGAAAATAATAACTTGGTTTATGGAAAAAAATTAAATATTTATTGTTATCTCACTACAAATAGTTACAAATATAAATAATAATAATAATATACAAAATAACCAAAACAAACTTACTATCAGTTTACAAATTCTAGAAGTTGGAGATACTAGGAGAACTTACAATTGTCAATGTACAAATATCTTTTTAAATGGAACTATGTATAGAGGTTAACCTTTTTTAAGAAACAAAAGAAAACAAATTTTAAATTTATGGCTAGATATGTATCAAATGTCAAGAAAATAGTGCTAACTGTCATATGTCAATACTAAATTTCAAAACTTTTAGAATAATTAATATGAAAACTTAGCCACTCCCCAACATTTATAACTTTACTTTACGTTACAATTAAAATTTCTTTTCTTGTTATGAAAGCAATTATTAATGGAAAATGTCTATTTTGACTTTAAAAGTTCAACAAAAAAATTACCTGAATTTTACTAAATGTTATTTTTTCCTTTAAAAGTTCTGGGGTTTGAACTGTACTCAAATTCACTCCAACACAAACAAATGCATCCCACACTGCGAAAATAGTCTGGAATGACCCTGGACAAACAAAATAAGGGTGGAAGCTGGGCACTGGAACGCAAACTTTAAAACTTGGCTTCTTAAAAACTCAAGCGCAATGGGACCATGTGGGTATCTTTTAAAGTTATTGGAAACGCCGTTCTTTAAATCTCTCAGGTGAGAGACATTACGAAAACAAAACAGTGATTATTCTTACAAAAATCGACACAATACATTCGAGTATATTTCACTTTTCTACCAACAAATTTGCCGGTTTCTTTAGACGACTCACACCGCGTGTTCTCTCTTCAAAAACTCTTCCAAACCTAACTTATTAACTGCAATTAAACTCCACACTGCTACTACACTGCACATTTTCCCATGATAAAAGACAAAAAACGAAAAAATATTACTACTAAACATCGGACTGACACCAAAACCAACTGCCGTTAAAAGCGGCCTCACTGAGAGTGATGTCATTCTTTTTCAAAATAATTCACCTAACTCGGTAAAAACAAAGCATAAACGAACATTATTATATTTATTTGACGCGCAATGTATCCTAAAGTGGCTCTCGATCAAAGAATATCGGAGAAGTATGTATCTGTGATGTATAAGTAAACTTTAAAATGTGTTTATTACCAACTCCAGCGATGCAAAAGGATTAAAAATACTTTTTCAATACATACAAGGTGATTTGAAGTGCTTCATAAAGAGTGATTAAATAAACGTTTGTTTTTTGTTCCTAATTGGGTATCAAAGTTATTTCTTACTAAACGAAGAAATTAATAATGACGTGGAAAGACCCTCTGTCTTCAGCAGGTTTCATCTTCGGCATACATTAGATGATCAGAAAGTGCTAAGAATCTTCAGGTTCGCTATAAAAGTTGTTATGTGAAGTCCATGTTGCTAAATCTTAGCAAAACTGGAAAATATAGTAGGCCATATGAAACAAATTCATGTTCATATCTTAGGTATTAGCAATATACAAAAGGGTCGTTATGTTATCGGTGCATGTAATAATATAAAAGTTTATAGAATAGGCTATTACTAGTTTTCTACAATTATCAGATCGAGTTATATCACTTAAGCTCAAACCAATATCTAACAACATCACCCAACTCTACGTACCATCAGCTGACAAAGTTGACAATAAGAACTTAACGTTACCACTAGAGTTATTACAAATACCATTCAAATTATACGCAAATAATTTGGACACATTTTAAGAAGAAAAAAATTTTGTTTAAAATCCTTTATAAAAGGTATATAAAAATGACCCAAACGGGCTATCACAAACACATTGCAAAACGTTTTCGGATTAAACAATCCATCATCAGTGCAAACGGTTGTACATGGTAGTAACCACCAAAATATATGGGTAAAAACCCTTTAAATGTTTTAAATTTTTAGTTGTTTTACATTATTAGTATTTATAATTTGTGATGTTTAAGTTACCGTTGGATAGGTAACATGGCGGCGTACTGCTCTTGTATCATATATTCGTCTCATTTTAAGAAGAAAATAATGTAAAGGAAGAATAATAGTTGAAGGCAAAAGATTTGGTGAAAGATCTCCATCATGATGGTCAAAACAATAAATGAACATGACTTGTTCTCTGTTCTTGGAAGCAAAGCAACGTACACAAAGAAGATAAAAATGGGCACCAACAGTCAAATCAATGGCATAACCTCACTATAGCCATACGATTTATACATTAAGGTAAAAGGACAAAGGAGGAGATAACAATATGGTCAAATTCAATCTGTTGTGATATTTAAGAACATAGAATATTGTGATAATCAAAGTATAAATATGAAGTGAAAATCATATTGCACACATCTTTCTCTGTATCAACCATTTTCTGTTTAACTCTGAATGTAGGTATCTCCCAATTACTTCTATCTTTCTCTAAATTGCGCCAATCCCACAGTTTGCCTACCACTGCTCTTGTATCATCTACTCGTCTCTTTTGAGATCTTGACATATATCTTGTCATGCTCCTTGTTCTTCATTTTAGAATCAACTTGTCCAACAGTTATCATCTATCTAGCTATGTGGTCAGCCCAGCGTGGTTTCATTTTTGTTATTTCTTCCATGGTATCCCCTGATCATGGTTCTACGCCTTATCTTGGTGTTTTTAATCTTGTCTATTTGTGATTTGCTAAGCAGGTTTCGTTCCATTGCCCTTTTAGTTGTTCCTTGTCCTTGGAAAGGGCTACGGTCTCCAACTCATAGAGTTACAAACTGGTAGTATGCATTTGTTATATACCTTTTTCTTTCAGTTTATAGAAGTCGAGGTATTTTTAAAATATATGTTACAAATAAATAAATGTTAAACAACAAAAGTTAATAATTCAGTATAATGAACACATGAATATGATCAGTATCGCTTTATTTGATGTAACTAACAGCCCAGAATAAAAAAGATAAAATAGTCAAGCTTACGAAAACTGTAAAAATAAAAATCTATAAAATTAAAATGGAAAAATTATGTGAATTAATTGTTTTTCGATCTTAGAGAAACACAACAAATAATAAATACCATAACTGTCCCGGATATTCCTTTAGATGAAATAAAGGCAGCAGTAAGGTCACTGAAAGATAGAAAACTCGTTTGAAGTGATGAAGTTTAGCCAGAAATCATCAAGTTAATAAATGAAGATTTTAAAAAGAATTAATTAGCATATTCATTGAGATATATTACAAGGTATGAGATAATGCTTAGGTGGATGTTCGAACATATTTAACGTCAAGAAGTTAATCACCCAGTACAAATAATTACTGTTTTGGAAGCTCGTTGGAGAAGTAGTAGAGGAAAACCAAAAAAGACCTGGGAGAGACGCTTATGACATATACAAGGAATGTCATGAACTATCAACGTTTCGAATATAAACCTGCGTCCCAAAAATCAGAAAGATGACAAAATGACCAATATTTTAAAAAACAAAATTGCCAACAACATGTTTCCAGATTAGCTAAATATATACTACTACAAAACGTAATGAATATGAACTCAAAAAACAATAACTTAGCTGTAGACACTACAACTCAAAAAGATCTTTTGTACATACCTTTGATCTAGCTTTAGTCCAAAGAATTGAAGCCCGTAAGAAACCTAATAAAGCATAACTGCTACAGACATCAAAACACTGTTATCTGAGACATAGTGGAGAGAAATCGATATAGAATACTACAACTGATACTTAATGGAACAATAGAAGACCGTGGAGTGTAGGAAGAAAACAGGTTTCTTGGTTAAAAAACATTCGTGAATGTACTCAAATATCAAATGCAGAACAATTATTTTATGTGACAGAACATTGAAAAACCCTTGGTAATGGTGATAACCAATGACGGTTAGTGAGACAGTTACTCTTACCAATTACAGCTATCACTATCAGCTCCAAGTAGAATTTTTATGAACGGCTCTTTAGGAATGGCGTTTTTTTGGCAAATGCAGGTTATTGCCTGCGATATTTTAGGAACGATTTAAGAATATCCCAGTACTCAGTAAGAAGTTTGTCGGCTGTTAAATTTAGAAGTTCATTTGGCAAGCAGGGAACTTTAGTTTTCAGAAGTCTGGAGGGTAGGTTCTTGTCCTAAGCGGTGACACGTCTTTCTAAAGGTCGATTCAGACACATCAGTCACGTCTCGTCACAGTCCTGGCGCCGAACCGAACAATCCATCATACAAAATATTCTTTAATAGAAATATGGCGCCGGCATTCACATTCATCAGGCGACGAGCAGTTTTCCAGCTGTCAGATAGTTGATAGTTCTGTGACCAAACAGGACCGGTTCGGCGCCGAGAGTATGACGGGACCATCGAGCAAAAAGACAATAGAGGGAATGTAAAGGTAGTGGGGGCAAACATATTGTTAGACAGGAAGTGCGATCTTTAGAGGCCACATTAAACAAGGAAAGAGAGTCTTTCTCCTTGTTTGACATCAAATTTAGTTGGGTTATGTTATTGTTTGTCCCAAATGTCACATGAAATCTTATTTATATTGAAGTTTTTTAACAATTGTGTCGCATTTTAGACTCTTATCATTAATAATTAATTAAAACTTTCTCGTCTAAGACACATTCTGAAAAATATTATATAGCTACTGTTGATAAGTGTCGGAAAATTTAAATTTCGCGCATTCGCATTTCCGGATATGTCCGCCATCAGAGGCCACTTTTTTGGTCTCCTTTTCATAAGGATTAGATTCCCTCTTTTGTCTTATTGCTCGATGGACGGGACTGATGTGTCTGAATCGACCTTAAGAACCTTTTTCGCTCTGTTACTTTAACTTTCGATAGTTTGTTGAACGTATCTCTTGCTAAGGCTTTGTATCCGATCTTGTATGGTTGAGATATCTATTTTGTATATTAATGCTTACGAATAATCATGTCTTTTACCCATGATTCTTCTCAGGATTTTTCTTTCTGTGGTCATAATTTAGTTCATTTGAAGTTTGTTAAGAGAAACCTAAATTCTGGCTCCGTATTCCAGAATTGGTAGTATATAAGTTATGTACGTGTATAGTAGAGTAACATAATTAGTGTCTCTAAATTTACCACTTAATGCTTTTAGGAGGTTAGCATTATTTCGTATCCTTTTTAGAGTATTTTCAAGATTTCTAGTGTTTCAGTTAAGCATCTTCGAGAATTCGACGCCTAAGTAGTATACAGACGGTCTAAATTCAAGCCTTTCTCCATTAAGCTTGATATGGTTGTCCTTTTATATTACTGTTGCAGTTTGAGATTTTAAGGTTTCCACTGTTCCAGTTGAGAGTCATCCAAAACTCGACATTCAAGTAGTACACAGACAGTCTAAATTCGAGCCTTTCTTCATTGATCCTGATATGGTTGTCCTGTTTTAGTACTGTTACGGTTTATGTACTTTAGTGTTACTCTATATTTGTTGCACCACTTGACTATAGAGTCAACATGTGTTTGCACATCGAAGTCCTGCGAAGAGTAGGGCCGTGTAGTAGGGATTAAAATTAGATCCGAGCAGATATAATGGTCGACGTATATAACAAATCAACTGTTTTTTATCGTTTATTGGCAAACTACAATGCAGATAATTTAGTTGGATATATTTAATTTTGTATTTAATTAATAATTGTTATTTATACTATATTAATAAGTTGTCCGAAAAAGATTTGTTATTATATTTATTACATGCAGTCTTTTCAGATTTACAGAAAAATATTCCTAAAATATTTTTGTTTCAGAACTGCAGACAGCGCTTTTCCTTCATAGTTGTTATTACAGCAATGAAGCTGCTAAATATACCATCGATACACACTTTACTGTCAAAACGTTATGTCCCGATGTTTTTGGGTCCAAAGATGTTAAGAATGATAATTTACTTCAAATAGCAATGAAAACTGTGTAAGTATAAAAAAATTGGAGTATTAAGATGGAAATCCTATAAAGACGTAATAAAAATATATTTACGACATTTGTACAGTTGTCAGATGTATTTACTAAAATATAGAAAATATCGAATTTTTTTTTCAAGGTTAGATTTCAAGCTTTATGTATCTAGTTAAAGACATGGTATTGCTACCCAGATACCTTAGATTCCTTTCAGCACAACCAGACATTTGTAAGGATATTCTTTCCATAGGGAAAGTGTCTTACGGAATTATAGAATTAAAAGTATCTTAAATTGAGGATTAAACTAAGATTGACAAACATTGACTAAAAGAATCGTTACATAAGAATCAGAAAGACAAACAGATAAAAGAGAAAAAACGATGTCAATACAATAGAAATAAAAAATAATATAATAATATTGCAAATAAACAATATTCAATAGAGTCATAAATAAGAACTTTAAATGAATAATATATGTACTGGTAATAAAGTTTGACGACATCTAAACAAAAGAAAGCATTGCAGAATATTCAGAATATTCAGTAGAGGAATTGCAACCGTAACATCGATCAGCAATGCAACCTAGAAGTAAAATTTATATTTGATCAAGCAACAACTGATTGTATTAAAACTTATATTTTACGTTTGTTTTGGCATTTTGAATTCCACTCCGGTAAAAAAAGGGATTTTTAAATTTTTTGAAAACGATTTCTGGAGTGGAAACCTATACTTCAAAACAAACGTAAAACACTATTTTGATTACATTAAATTGTGGTTAAATCGCAATATGTATAAAAAAATTTATAGTTAATATTACAAAATTATATTTTCACTTAATAGACAGAGATCAAAATCATATTTTCTCCTGTGTTACCTCCACATTCTGTATCAAAGCCCAGAATGAAGCATTATGCCGAGCGATAAACCCGATTGTTTTCTGACGAACCTTAGAAATATATGAAGCAGAGAATGGAACTATAAAAAACCATCAAAAAACAGTAAAATATTAATTTCAACACATCAAATCTTTTGTCCTACGTAACATTCATAGAATTGATAAATAGTTCTACAACTACCACTACTATTCCGATGCATATTCCTGTTTCTATGAGCTGTAGGGTTTGAAAGTTTATCAGTAGGGTGCTAACCTAGCTGTAGACCTCCTCCCCCTTTATCCTGGCTTGGGATCGGCAACAGTTCTGTCGAGCTACTTGATCCACCCAACTAAACTGCAGACGGCATTTAAGTAGAGTTTAAAAGGCTGCCAAATATAGATATAAATGTACAGGAATTTCGGAAAATACTTGAAAACCTGAAGAACAAAAAAGCAGCAGGCAAAAACGGGATACCAAACGATTTACTGAAATACCGTGGAGAAGCAATGACAAAACAATTCTTCTTCTTCCTATGCCGTCCCCATTAACGGAGGTTGGCGACCACATTTATAAAAGCTTCTCTGTCTTTTGCAACGTGGAATAATTCGTCATGTTTGTCCAGTCTCGAATATTTCGCAGCCATGACTTCCTCTTTCTACCTACTCCCTTTTTGCCATCGACTCTACCCTGCATGATGACCTGCAGAAGACTATATTTATTATTTCTTAGTATGTGTCCAAGGTATGCAGTCTTGCGTACTTTTATCGTTCTCAACAATTTTTTTGACTCGACCCATTCTTCTCAGCACTTCCTCATTGGTGACCCTGGCAGTCCATGGGATTCTCAACATTCTCCGGTATATCCAAAGCTCAAAGGCTTCAATCTTTTTAACTATTTGCGCTTTTAGTGTCCATGTTTCTACCCCGTCCAATAGTTGCGACCAGACGTAATATTCAACAAACCTCAGTCTCAGCGCAATATTCAGCTTTTTGTCACAGAACAATTGTTTGAATTTTAAGAACGCTGCCCTTGCCATTTTTATTCGTACCCGGATCTCTTGGTCTGGATCTAATTCTGTGTTGATGTAAGCTCCCAGATATTTATATTTTGTCACTCTCTCTATTTGCTGTCCACCAAGAGTTAGTTGTTCATTATTTATTGGACTCCTTGATACTATCATAAATTTGGTCTTATCTGTGTTGATGTCAAGTCCCATTTGAATGCATTCACTATTTATTGCATCTAGTAAAGCTTGTAAATCTTCTATACTCTCAGCCATAATTACCGTGTCATCTGCAAATCTCATGGTGTTTATGATTTCTCCACCAATTCTTATTCCCTCTTTTCTTTCCCATAAGGCTTTTCTGAATATGACCTGTGAGTACACGTTGAAAACCGTCGGAGACAAGACGCATCTTGCCTAAACCCTCTCGCAATCGGTATATTATTTGTTTCTATAACAATTAACAAAAGTAATTAATAAAATTATAAAACACAATAAAATACCGGAAGAATGTAGAACGGGTGAACTAAATTATACTGTTCAAAAAAGGAGATAAAAAGCAGCCAGAAAACTACAGAGGTATAAACTTGTCAAATACTATCCTAAAACTTACAACTAAAATTTTACAAGTGCTAATAAATTAAAGGATAAGTTTAGCAGATGAACAACAGGGTTTTCGTAGTGGAAGATCGTGTACAGATGCAATATTCGTTAAAAAGCAAATTATTGAGAAAGCACTAGAGTATAATAGACCAACATTTCTGTGTCTGATTTGCATAAAGAAGGCGTTTGACAGAGTAAGACTCAAAGATGTAAGCCATCTACTGTATAATAGAGAAGCTCCAATAATTATTATGAAAACTATCAAAAACATTTACCAAAACAAAAAAAATTAAAGTAAGAATAGATAGACAACTTACAGAACCTATAGAAATAGGCAGCGGAACATGACAAGCGGATTCATTGAGTCCCATGTTCTAAAATTTGATCCTGAATTAAATCACCAAAAGCGTTAACAAAGGAAGAGGATACAGAATGTGAAACAAAGAAATCAAAATACTCTGTTACACAGATGACGCAGTAATGATAGCTCAAGATGAAGATAGTCTGCAAAGACTGGTCCACAGATAACAAAACATAAGAGCAAAAGAATTTAATATGACAACTTCATCTAGAAAACTAAAGCAATAGTAGTCAGCAAAGGACCAACGAGATGTAAAACAGAAATTGATGACATCAGTGTTAAACAAGTAATGCAAATAAAATACCTGGGTATTACACTGTCTAGCTATGGAGACCGAGACAAAAAAGTGAGAGATCAAGTACAAAAATCAAATAGACTGGCGGAATGCCTTAATAACACTATATGACGAAACAGACACATTAATACTGAGATAAAATTAAGAATTTATAAAGCCTGTGTAAGACCAATATTGATATATGCCTCAGAAACAAGACCCGACACAGCCAAAACGCAAACGCTACTGGAGAAAAATTACAGGAAATACGCTGAGAGATCGAAAGAGAAGTAAAGACATTAGAAGAAAATGTAACGTTAAGTGTATAAATAAATCGACACAAAATAGAAAAAAAGAATGGAATAACCACATAAGCAGAGAAATAAGCATAATGCAGGAGACCCGTGTCATTAAAATAGCAAGAGGTAAGTCACCAATCGGCAGAAGAAGTATGGTATGACCCCACAAAAGTTGAAGTGACAACCTTCCATAGATGTATTATTCCGCTAATGAACAAGCAGAATTGCTTATAAAGAGAAAGAAGAAGAAGAACTACTACTACTACAAACCTGTTTCCTAAATTGGTGAATTTCTGGGATTTCGTTGTTAAAGGGCAAGTCCAGATAACAACTTTCACCATTCTCTATCAAGTTCAGTCACATTATCTGCAGAAGCAGACAAATGTTCGGGAAAAAGTAAAACATGTCAGCACTGAAAGAAATATTCTTTCTCATTTCGGGGCCAATGATTTCTCCATAGTTTATCATCCTCAGACACTTCAATGGTTGGCAAAATCTGTCGTTAAATCTCGGTGGTTGGATAATTGAGGATCTAGATCCAGACATAGAGATACGTAGCAGGATTGAGCAAGCCAGAACAGCATTTACTAATGTGATAACCTTGCTAATCAACAGCAACGTTAACTTAACGCTTTGATATCGCTTAATAATTAAATAATAATTAAATAAAGAATACACTATTCTTATCACTTTTAAAAGTGCAAAGGTAGCTGTTGGTATTCTATTATTATTATTATTTTGTTCTTGTTGATGTGAGTAAACTTTCAAGTCAAATCAAGTATCAAACACAACTTGAAGTTGAATTGCTTTAATTTTGTCTCAAGAATTATGGTTGTAAATCCCGAAACAGCGGCTGCTATTGTTGCGTTGCTTAAAGAAGGAAGAAGTGAATGATATGTTGCTGAAAAATATCAAAATATCCAATAGTACCATATTTTTACACGTTTCTTGGCAACCGGAGGCATCTAAACATTCCGTACATGTACATTGTATTTAGCACCTAGATCCTTGACGGCACGCGGCCATGTTTCAACCAATAGGCGGCGAGGTGCCAAACACGTATATGAAATATTACTTTGGTGCGAAATTCATATGCTGAATGTTAAATATTCGTAGACCAAAAAAGACGACATTTTATTAAAATCGGTTAAAAGGAGGCTGAATGTTTTTCGAAGATTCTTCTTTAGATAGTCGTCCAAACGGTAATTTTTTTGACGCTCTAGTAACTCCCAACTTTCTTGGGCTGATTGAACTTGGTTGCACTCTAATATTGGACTTGTGTCCAAATCACCTTAACGAAGAACATCCTGCCGTGTTTAAAAAACTTTCCCCAGCCGTTTTTGTTTTAATACGTGGTAATCTTTCATGCAATAATTTTAACGGTTATGAATCAGTTCCAAATGTAACATTTTTATCTTTTATCGTATTAATACAATTCTTGTTGTTCAGCTGTTTCATTTTTGTTTAAAATAATATATTCTGTAACATTATTTTCATCAATTTTTTCAATGCTGTTATTAATTTAATATTGTGTAATACTTTTACTGGATCCTACAAGCCCCATATAAAATGAGACAGGCTGAACTTTTTCGCCAAAAGCTAATTTAGCTAAGTCGTATCGATCTTGAGGATTAGTAGCTGGAACGTTGTCAAAAGATATATTAAACAAGTTTGGAATCGCAGCTTGATGCTTGCGATCTTCCAATATTGCAGCTGCAAAATTCTGTTACTATATTGACTTCGTAAAGGACACTATTCTTTTGCTCACTAGGAACTTTATATAAATAATACAGTACAGCTAAAGTGCAATAAACCTATAGCATTACAAGTTTGTTTCTATGTAGAGCTATTGGTATAACACCTTATCCGTGGTCCAATTTTGTTTGTTTACTAAGAACGTCTTGGTGGGCCCCTAGACGAGAAGCAAGTGACCCTGTAAGTTTCCTTGTCATATATTCTTCTATCAATTATCCGTTAGTTTTCTATTAGGGATAGGGCTGTACATTTGTCTGATTAGAGAAACTATTGCAACTGGCTGATTGACTTATGTCTATGCCATTAAAAAAATATATAATTGTAGAGCTATGTTTCTAAAATCTTTACTGTTATTTCACTGAAATTGTGGGTTTGGTGGCCGTGTGTTGATGTGTCCGTATAAGCGAGGCACCAATCTTCCTTTTTTTCAATATTCAGTAATATATTTTTTTACTGCAAAATCGTTGATTTTCAGGAATAATTTTAAATAACTCTGTGGCATTCTCTATAGTCGATGCTACTAATATAGCTTGAAATGCCTTAAATAAAAGTTGCCGTTCGTTGTGGGGTATCCCATTCCTTTTTTTTACACAGCCAGCGTCAAATTGATTGGCATATATGAAAACGGCATAAAGATGTTTGTGATTTGGTCAAAAATTTTAAGGCTTTTCTTTCAGCGTCATTATTACGTGTAATAAATATTTTAGAATAACTTATTCCACCGAAGGCGTATCGACCCTTGGAGTGTTGGTATGCTGCAGCATAATCTTCAATTATTTGACCTTTGGTGATAATAATTGCCAAAGGCACTGCTTCTGTTCTACAAAGGATTAAGATAAACGAAGCCGAATAGTTTAATGCATCGCAAGGAGCTGTGGTATCTGTAAAAACAACATCTTTTGCAAATGGAAGATTGTGTGCTGGTTGCATAATATGTGTTAGAACAATGACGGCAAGCGGGTTTTCATTATATTTTACCATAATTCCTTCTGCTTTATAAACCTCATTTTTTGTGTCATTTAAAAAAACCAAAGAGGTCAGTAATTTTAGAGACTGTCTTTACCCCCAAAACTCCAGTTCCATCATGAGTTCCCACATTGTCAGTTCTCCATATATTATGCCAATGCTGCACCGTACGATATTTTGGATTGATTTCTGAATTTGCTACAATTTGGACTTATGATAAACTCGAGACTCGTATATTTCCATTCCATTTTATATCAGAGGATGGACGAAGGTATGAAAGGCTTTCAGCTGATTCGAAATTGATTATGCTAGGCAAATATACTTATAATACCTTGCAAATATTCCTTAAATAAATATGTTCTGATAATTTCGCATTAGGTAGGTATGGAATATAGTATATATCTCGGTAAATAACGACAGTATACAAAAATTTTTTACATAAAAGTTATTTAACAATTGTTTCAGGTACGAAAAACAAATAAGTAACTAAAAACAATTGAATTTATTTAAATAACCATGTACCCTTTCATTTGGTACTAAACATGGCAAAGGACAATGAATTTCACACAAAGATTACATTTTAAACATTTAAATTTTTTTTATAATTTCTTTGTCTCCTGCCTTATTCACTACTTTATTTGATGATATTCGACTTATATTATCATTCCATTTTATTCTTCTATTTCTTACCCAGTCCTTGATGTTCTCCATCTTACATCTACGTTGTATATCTGTACTTCTAACTCTGTCCCATAGTGTTTTACCATCAATTTTTCTAAATGTTTTCATTTCTACTGTTTCTAACATCCTTTTTGTCCCCTCTGTGCTAGGTCGTGTTTCTGTCGCGTGTGTTATTATTGGTCTGATGACTGTTTTGTAGATTCTCCCTTTCATTATTTTCCCGATATTTTTATTACTCCATATTTTTTCACTTGCTAAAGCTAAAATACAGCTATGTTTGCTCTATTCACTTGATCTTCCACTTTTGTTTCGAGCTTTCCGTAGCTAGATAATGTGATGCATAGGTATTTAAACTCCATCTATTATCTGACCTTCCAGCTCAAATTTACATCTTAGTAAATTTGCTGTTATAACCAAGCATTTTGTTTTTTTTTTTGGAAAATTAACATGTTAACTTTTCTGACAATTATAATAAATTGGTGTAGCATATCTAAATCATCTTCACTTTGGGAGAGTAGTATTACATCGTCTGCATAGCAGATTATGTTATGTTATTATTATGTTATGAACCGGAAGCGGTAATTTGGTTTAATTTTTCGAATAGGGGTCTTGGGGTAGATGTAATATTCTGTAGGAAAAACATGTAGGTATGTTTCTTAATTATACCGACATAAACACAAGACCTTTTATTTATTTACTGCCATAAAAGCTGAAGTTCTTCTCAAATTAAACTGTATAATACAATAAAATATATTTTATTATTACTAGAATACCTCGGTAGCTGGTAAATATCTTTAAAATGTAGAAATTGTTGTTTCTTGGAGATAAATTTACACAAATAAAAAATCGTTTATTTCTGAATAATGTATTAAAACCGCTTTAGACAAGATTATCACATTCACATATCACAATTTTTACCCTAAATAAGTTGAAGGAAGGTAAATCATTTTATTCAGAAAGTGTATCATTCTAGAAATATAAATTATTTGGCTTAAGCATTTTTCTAAAAACGTATTAATAGTGCTGATTAGTGATAAATTCAAATAATATGAACGACACTGTATAAAAGAAATTGTTAATATTATCGTTGTCAAGACCAAAAAACTAAAAAGATTTTCGGGTGTAAATAACTTTTTTGCTTTTTGTTCTGTCATCAACTTTTATCTACATAAAATATTTAAAATTATTAAAAATATATTTTTTAGATTTGTTGGTCCTGTTCCTAAACCTCCAAAATCAAATGATATAATACTCTTCGGAAAGTTAATGGATTTTAATCCAGACAACTACACGCTCGCCCCCCAAGTGAATTTATTTGATTTGGCGACCATAATGTACTATTTGGAAAATGGGCCAGCCGATGGTGTTCATATTGTGCTAGATATGAAGGGAGTCGTTTTTGCGCATTTTCTTAAACTTAATCCAGTTGTTATAAAGAAATTTCTGTATTATTTACAGGTAAGGTTAATCTTTTTACATCGCTTAACAAACGAAAGAGAAAACGGAATACATGGACTAGAAAAAAAATTACAGAAGTTTTCGAAAGCTACATTTGGCTACAAAAAGAAACAACGCTTTTTGTCTTTTGAAAAGTCTTGAAAATAATGTAATTATCAAGGAATCATGATGCACTAAAAATACATTTATATAATATAAAAATACATTTACATCATAGGTATATTTACCATGGTAAATATACCTATTATGTAATTTATCATTGTACCATGTATATTAAAGAATAATGCCATATTATAGGTAACCACTTTGATGATTTCTAAATAATTTAAGTGCCTAAATATAAGCAACCAACATTACGTTGGAGAAAAACTCTAGTTAAATAATATATTAACTATAAAATTAGTAAAATACTCTTTCAATAAACAAAAATTATGAAAATTTATGGCAAGACTGTAGCCTAGATTTTTGAGCTACAATTAATGAAACTAATAAAACACAAATATATGCACATGTTATATATATATATATATATATATATATATATATATATATATATATATAATATATATATATATATATCTATTTAAAATATGTTACATTAAAACTAATTTTAGGAAGGAATGCCGATAAGACTGAAGACACTTCATTTTATTAATATTGTATCATTTATGGATAAAATTTTAGCCCTAATGAAACCGTTTATGAAGAAAGAACTAATTGATTCGGTAAGTACTACCGGTCAAGTAATTTCCGTTAATTTATGTCATTATATCGTTATTTTTTTTATTTTTTATTGGGTTAATGCCTCGACAACTATGATCATTGGCATATTATATCGTTATTATGATTGTGCAACTATTTATAATTTCTAGCTACATCTTCATACGGATGCCGAATCTGCATTTAAATATATCCCTAAAGAAATGTTTCCTCAAGAATATGGAGGACCTTGTGAGTCATCAGAAATAATACAAGGTGAGTTTTAGGCAGATATTATGTAAAATTCTTAAAAGATTTTTTAAACATATGAAAACGTTAACGATATATCATAACGTCATAATAGCCCAAAGTCAAAACGACTTAAATAATCACTATCAATTTATTATGATACTTATATTTTTTGACAAATCAGAGTATCATATTTTAAGTAATACGAATAAAAGGTGATGCGTGCAAAATTCTGTGAGCCATATATAAAAATTTCTTCTTCTTAAGGTGTCTTCTTCAATACTGAAGGTTGGCTATAACTACAGCAAATTGCTCTCTATCTTGAGCTGTTCTTAGTATCGAATCCATGCCTGTCCAGTCTCTTACATACTTCAACCAGGAGCATTTTCTTCGTCCTGGACCTCTTCTTCCTTCCACTTTCCCTTCCATTATAAGTCGTAGAAGTTGTATTTTTCTCCTCTGTAAATATATCCTTGATAACTCGTTTTTCTGGTTTTTACAATATTTAGGAGTTCTCTCTCAGTACCCATTCTTCTTAGCACCTCGTTGTTGGTCACGTGCTCTGTAAAAGAGATCTTCGGCATCCTTCGAAATACCCACATCTCAAAGGCATCGAAATACGCCTCATACTTGTAATTCCGAGAGTCCATGTTTCCACTCCGTATCGCAATATGGGATAAATAAACGTTTTTACAAATTGGTATCGGATATCCAACGATAACGTAGAGTTTTATTAGGAATTTTTTCATTCGTTGGAATGCGGACCTAGCATATTCTATATGAGCACGTATTTCGACCTCGTGTTCAAGATCGTTTGTTATCCAGCAACCAAGATACTGGAATCTTTGTACTGGTTCTATATGTTTGTTATAGATACGAATATTAATGTCGACCTTTGGTGCACGTGTAACAGCCATTATTATTGTTTTATTTGTGTTTATATTTAGTCCCAAGCTATCTCCCTCACTGGTTATGACATTCAAAAGTCGTTGTAATCCCTCAGCACTGTCCGCAATAATGACCTTGTCGTCCGCGTATCATAAGTTGTTTACATATTCTCCGTTGATTTTTATTCCTTCTTCAATATTTTCGAGGGCATTCTGAAAGATATTTTCGGAATATATATTAAATAACAGTGGAGAAAGTACACAGCTCTGAAGAACTTCTCTTTTTATTGGCAATTCTATTGTCTATTTTGATCGACGCCATTTGATCTCAATGTAGTTTTTTAATAAGTGCTATAGTGTTATGGTCTATACCATGTTGTGTTAGAGTTTCTAGGAGTTCTGTGTTTTACTTGATCAAATGCTTTTTCGTAGTCGATAAAACAGAGAAACAAGTCTTTTCAGTAATCTCGGCATTTTTGTAGTAATATCTGGAGGCCGAATAATGCCTCCCTTGCACCAAGCTTTGTACCGAAATCCAAATTGATTGCTGCTCAGGTTTCTTTCGCATTCTATGTATATTCATCAGGTTAATTAATCTGAACTGTGAGTATTTGCTTTACTTTTCTTGGGTATAGGTATAAATATCGATCTAAGCCAGTCTTCTGGGAAGATTCCAGGGGTATATATTTTGTTAAATAATAGTGTTAACGTCTGAAGATTTTCTTCATTGATAAGCTTTATCATCTCGTATATTTCATCTGGACTTAAGGCTTTTCGTGGCTTTGCCGTATTGATTGTTTCTGTAAATTTCGATGTTAATATCTCAAGTATTGTTTCTTGTACTAAATTCATTTGTGGTTCTGTTCTCTCGTCATCAAATAGATCTTTGATGTATTTTTCCAACATATCTCCTACATTTTCTAAACTAGATACTATTTGATTGTTATCATCTACTAAAGTTGTTATAGTGATTTTTTTCTTCATATTTGTGACTTCCTTAATGTTTTTGTATGCATTAAAGTAATCATGCTTTTTTAGTAAATCTCCCAGTTCTTTACAGTTGCTGCTCATCCATTCTTCTTTGGATTTCCTGATTTTGTTTCGGATGATTCTCTGGGTTTCTTTATATTTTTCTTCATTGCGATTTTTGTAAGATCTCCTTATATCCATCAGTTCTAGGACTTCCTCTGTCATCAACGTATTCTTTGTTTGTCTGATGTTTTCTTGTAGTTGTTCTCTTTGTATATATAAAGATTAAGAAAGCAAATTAGGCATAACTGTTGGTTCATCCTTAGTTGTATTTTATGGAGCACAATTAAATATATTCTAAATCCAAAAGGAAACTAAATTCCTGTAGCTAGCTGTATACCATGTAAAAATTTATTTAAAAATTTCTTTATAAAATGTTTAATATTAAAAACCCTATCGAGCTAAATCACAGAACGTTTTCGAAATTAAAATTCCATCATCTGTGCTAGCTGGATGTACATGTTTTAAGCCACTAAATACATGGGTAAAAATTCTTTAAATGTTGTTAAATAAACTTTGAGTTACATTATTTAACTTTATAAACCATAAAAGATGTTTAAATTACAACAGGAATAGATAATATGGCAACGTAAGACTCCACTGAAGGTTGCTAGTCCCGAGACAAAGTGTCTACGAGGACTTGTTGATAGTTACTATCACCACAGGGGAATTGTGGTTTTAAATCCATTGTATATACTATTTTCCAATATACTATGAACATTATAGGGCACCATATGCAGAATAAATAATTGGAAAATTCCAGGCTAGTTTTAGAGGCAATTTCAATTCATCAGATTGCAATCCTAAGACAAATTTTAGAAAGGCACAAGAATAGAAATGTTCAAAGCAATAAAAGAGCTAGGAGTATCAAATCAGTTGGTAAATTTAACAAAAATAACTCTTAAAAAAGTCATACGTATGTCACAAATCACAACCATCAAATCCTTGCCTATGCTAATTATATTAATACTAGAACGTTACCCATAAATAATAAACAAACACAATATCTATATACATGTATGTATATTCTTTTTCTTCTTAGAGTGCCTGTCCGTTCCGAACGTTGGCGATCATTCTGGCTATGATGACTTTGTTGGTTGCTATACGAAATAGCTGTGTTGAGGTCTTTCTATACCATGCTCTCAGGTTAGCAAGCCAGGATATTCTTCTTCGTCCTGGGGCCCTTTTTTCTTCAATTTTACCTTGTAAAATGCATTGAATTAGCTCGTATCTGCCTTGATTTCTCATTATATGTCCCAAGTACTGCAGCTTACAGCCCTTCACGATGTTGACCAAATCTGCGGTTGTGTTCATCCTTCGCAGTACCTCTTCATTGGTGACTTTGTCTGTCCATGGTATCTTCAAGATCCTTCTGTATGACCATAGCTCAAAAGCCTGCAGTTTTGATAGGGTTTCCGCCTTCAATGTCTACGTTTCTACTCCGTACAGAAGCACTGACTACACATAACATTTAAGGAGCCTTATTTTTGTTTCTAGGGTAAGGTCAGGGCTCTTGAACACAGAACTTTTCGATGCGACATTTAATCTTTTGGGTATTGTCCCACGACTCATTGATCATAGTTTCCAAGTAGTTGTAGCTCGTGATGAGAATGAGTGATGTGAATGAGAATAATGAGCTCCAATGCATTTTGCAGGGTAAAATTGAAGGAAAAAGAGCCCCAGGACGAAGAAGAATATCCTGTTTTTTCAATTTCATCAAGTTCCTGTGCCTTTCCATCCTTCATTTGTCTGACGGCTGCCGTTATTTCTTCTGGTAGGATTTCGGGAACTGAATTTTCTTCAATAATGGGCTCTTGTATTGTTCTAAGGTCATGGAAAAGCTTCTCCAAGTATTCTTCCCATACTTTTTTTATCTTCCCTGGTTATGGCAAGATTGTTTTCATAATCTGTTATTTTTCTGCTGTTGCGTTTTCGGAACTTTTTGAGCTATTTCCATCACCTTTCGATGAACATTGAAGTTATCATATCGACTCTGATGCTCCTCTATTTTTTGACATTGTTATATTTTTTGTTTCTCTGTGGCATCTTCTGATTTTTCTTTTGATGATGGTATGTATTCTCCTATATTCTTGGAGATTTTTTTTTGTTTTTATTCTTTTCGTTTTTCTTCTTCCCTTTTTTTCCTTTTTATATATTTCTCCTTTCCTCTTATACATATATATATATATATATATATATATATATATATATATATATATATATATATATATATATATATATATAGATAATTTACTATTTTTAGAGAAAATTAGAAGTAAAATTATGGACAACGCAGATTTTGTTACCCATCTGACTAATCAAGTTGTTGATGAATCCAAAAGGCAAGGAAAGCCAAAGAACGCTGGAGATTTATTCGGTGTAGAAGGAAGCTTCAAAAAACTAGAAGTCGACTAGAAATTATTTTATTTATTTTTGTTTTTGTTATCAGGTTTGTGTTTAATTTATAATTATAATTATGATTTTATTTTTAAATTATATTGTTGTTTGCAGTATTGTATTTTTATTTGTATAAAACCTAAAAAGATGACAAAGGTAAAAACACCAACAACAGTGATTGTTATAAGCGTATAAATTATAAACTAAAGTCACAATAAATATTGAACTTTCTATTTTCTTGTGGCGTATACAGAAGTTAAATCAAATGCAAATACAAAAAAGACTAAAATCCTAGTAAAAAACTGATCGGAGAGAGCAACAAGACCCTACTTGATAGTTGACAACTTGGAAAAAGGAGATAGCTTTAACTACGAAGGAATTAACATCACAAACGACAACATAGGCAATACAGCATTTAGCAGAAATTAATCCTAGGGATTACGGCATACCTTGCTATGAACCAGATAGTACATTTATTTTCATGTTTCAACTTCAAAATTTTAAGAACTATTTCCGAAGGGAAAATTCAAACGTATTTTATTGTAGAAAACATTTGTTTATCTTAAGCTATGTTTGAAATAAAAAAAGACATAGTTTGAAATGGGTATTTTATTTGGCTTTTTCAAATTGAGATGTTTGACAGTCATCATTGGAAATTGGTTTCTTCTTCCGTCCGGAACAAACACGCCAGAATTGTTACGTTGCCAAATACTTTGTCTATTTATTAATTTGATTTTTGATTGATTTTTCTCTAGACACTCTTAATATTCTGTTTTACACCATTCCATCAATATATTTTTTCCATTATATTTTTTTGTGCCCATGTGCTAAACCTGATGTTTTCTAATGTTGTCTTTCTAATGTTTTCAGTTCTTCTACTTTCATATAAGACTTTGGCGATTCTCTTTCTTAGTATTGTAGTCATTAACACGTTAATTTTTATATGTATATTAATATGTTTATTTCTTAATATTATGTCATACAACCAGCCTATTGTTATATTATTTACACCTTGTAACGGAGTATTATACTAATTTAAAATCTACGAAGGGGTAGAAATTAAGAATATTTAATTAATTGGTTTATTCTAATATATAATGCAACAGACAGATTTGGTTTATAATGTGATCTAGTGGGTCTCGGCCTGCTTCAGGATCAGCTTCCATTCTTTTTTATTCTTCGCTTTGGTTTCTCAATTGCGTACTCTTACCTCTTAAGTCTTCCTCCACCTGGACCTTAAATCGTTCTCTGGCATGTCTCTCCTTGTCACTTAATATCTTAAACCAGACACTTTCAATACACAGTAAGATATTTTTCAAATAAGACTACATTCCACTTATCTACCACCAATTGGCAGTGATTCCACCGTAACCTGAGACGCGAATAAGACATGAATTGTATCTAGCTTAAATAAAACTATTTAACCACTAACAATCAAAAATAAACTCTGGTAGATAGTATGAATATCTCCAAAAAATAGAAAAATCCTAAAAAATTAATACAAACACGAATACAAAAGGCGTGTAGAGCAAGACAAAAATAGGCATATTAATTAAATATGTAAAGAATTTAAGGATCATGCAAACAGAAATAGAGCACGTAAAATTTATAATACTTATTTAAAGAATTCAAACTACAAACGAAAATTATGATTAATGACTGAAAAACTATAACAGACACCAACAATACTACTGAAAACAATGCTGCGAAAAACTATTATATGATACGGAATCACAATTCAAATTTTAGTCAGATATAGATGGAAACTTTAATTTTAAGAACGGATGTGGAACAGGCTGTACAGTGAATTAAAAATTAATAACAATGTCCCTAAAGTTTTCGAAAAATTTTAGATACAATAGTATTATTGGTAGGAAGCATTCGATCAAGTTGCCATTGGAAACCAAAGTTAGTAAACAACCTAAACGATATACACAATGTCAGTTTTCACAAATATGGTTCGTTAAGATGACGTACAAACTTAATATTCGTCAAAGTGTGTATCGTTTATTTGGACATGTACCAAAACTCGATATGGTAAGAATTTACCAACGATTTACCAGACAATTAAAGAGTGCAAAAATAGTATACCATGTCTTAATTTACCCAAAAGAGGAAGACCAAGACTTTTAACTCCTGTTCGGGAACAGAGATTAATTCAGGGTAGGGAGAACTAGAAAAGTCCTTGCGAAATGTTGGCCAAAGATATATTGTATCACGAATGACTGTAAGTAGAACAATTTCTAGAAATAATTTAAAACGATATAAAACAAAAAAGCTTCCAAGTACACACCACTCCAGTTACAAAAAATTCCTAGATGTTGCCGTGCATTGAGTAGTATTTATTTTCCTGGTAAATTTCTCATTATTGCTGATGAAAAGTATTTTACTTTATCTAATTCCGAAATGAAGGTCAACGACGGATTTTATACACGCAATGTACAAGATGCACCGGACGAACTTAGATTTAAGGGAAAAGTGAAATTTACAGATAAAATGTTGGAATGGTATTCCATCTCAGAAGCTGCTGTTTCAAAGCCGTTTGTTGGGCGTGTTCGCGGTGTTTTACAAAACTGGTTTAATTTATAAATACTTATCAATGATGAAATCATTTTTTATCCCGATCTATGGTAATGCAATTACGCGAGGAGAACGACAGATTGGTAACTGCTCAAAATATAAATTTTGTTTCCAAGCACGACAACCATCAAAATTTGCCTCAGGCAAGGCCTATAGAAGAGTTTTGAAGTATAGAGTATTTTGAGTCGAATGGTGTATAATAATGGCTGGGAAGCCCGAAATAAAGATCAGCGAGGGCAAAAAATTTTGCAAAAATTTCGTGAGATCGTCTTAGAAACAGTCCAAAGGCTTATTGCATATGCAAGACCAAATTGAAGTCATCGAAGATGACAGATCTCTTTCTGAGTACAAAAATACATATTTATTTTTTACAAAAGCTTTAGGGACATGCGTTAAACGGCAGAAATAATAAACCAATAGCTAAAACAGGTATCGAAGCAATCCATACGTTATGTAACGTCATTTGGCAATATGGCAAAAGATCGAAAGAATGGTGTGAATAAATTTACTTACCATTGCACAAAAAGGGCTTCTACAGACTGCATTAACTAAACCAGATGTTTTTAAATATATTACACATAATAGAAAAAGCATATCAATTTAATATTAAATCTTAGTTGCGCTTCCTCAATCACACTAAAGTGTGTGATTTCAATTCAAAGCAGGCAAAGAACAATGCGAAGATTTGATTTTGAACTTGGCGGACACAATGAAAGAAAAAAAAGACTGGTTGACTTTATTTGAAGAAAAAGTAATGGTAATAACAAACCTATTATACCAGCTTTTATCAAGAAGATTATATATCTGGAAGTTGCATCAAGATAAATAGGGTAAAATCGTAAGAAAAAAATAAACTATATCATGGTAGGAAAAAGATACAGAAATTCTATCAAATTCGTATCTATTTGTAAAGATTATCCTGGTGCTAAGTAGTGCTGGCTGGTGGTGATGTAATCACTGGCTTTTATATCAAGGCAGTTGTTGTGAATGCAGGTTAAATCTAAAACACTCTGAACAGAGCTAAAATTGATACCTTAAATTTAACGTTAAAAAAGGATAAATCAAGAACTACTGCCAGCTACAATTGATAAGAGAAAAGGTCAGGATGCAAACATCCAATTGAAGAACTTAAAATACATATAAAACAATTACGATAAACTCAATCAATAAAAGTGGCAGAAAAAGAAAAAACTGGGTGACCAATGAAATACTCAAGGAAATGAAGAACGAATCATCCCAAAATATATAAAGAAATACAAAGAAAAAAAAATAGCAAAGGAAAATTGATTGAATGAGAAATTTTGTGTAATGTGTAGAAAATCTACAAGTATCTACAACTCATACATAAGAACATTTAAAAATCACCTGAAACTAGAGACGCAAGCACGGAATAAACTAATTGACAGCAATGGACGAATAGCAGCGACAATATCCGAAGAACCACACGGCGGATCAACGATAATAAATGGATATAGGAGCTATATGCGATCAAAAATATGAAAAGCGAAAAGGCTCCAGTGTTGCGGAAACACCAGCCAGTGTTGCAAACCTAAGGCAAAAACTTTATCGATTAGTATCGACGAATCCATATTAACTTCTAGAGAAACAGGGATAAATGTAATAGACTAGAGGAGGCCAACCCGTCGATCGCGCCCCCTAGGTCACTAGCTCAGTCGATTATAGGCAAGGACAAAATTATCAGTATAATGTAGCTACTTATTACCGTCCCAAATATTACGAAAATTATTGGAGTGCTAGGAATCTTGTATCGATCATCGCGAGCGACTCACATTAATTTTGTTAATTTTGTTGTTAAATTATACTCTTTTATTAAACTACACAAACCGGAGCATCCAATAAGACCTGTAGTTTCTTTTTATACTGCTCATATAAACTTAAAAAAAAACTGTTAGAGATTATTTTAGAACACACTAAATTTTCACCTAAATTTACCATAAAAAATACAATAGAACTAGTTAATAAAATACAACATTTTCAATTACCTAACAACTTCCGATTAATTTCATTTGGCGTAAAAAATCTTTTTCCTAGTATCCCTCCTACAGAAACTTTTATTCTAGTAAAAAACCTTTAAGACCAAAATAGTACAAATCCAATAATTACATCTGAAATTTTACATCTGCTTGAAGTTTGCATAAACCAAGACTACTTTGAATTTAATAATCAAATATATACAAATAACAGTGCAGGACGTATAATGGGCAATCCTCTGAGCCCATTGCTATCAAATATTTTTATGGATCATCTAGAGACAAAGATTTCAAAACATCCCGTATTCAAACAGTTTTTATATTGGTGGAGATACGTAGACGACGTACTGGTATATTTCACAGGAACTAACAGACAACTCGACCAATTTTTATCGTGTATTAATTCACTTCATAGTCGTAGTATTGAATTTACAATAGAAACAGAAC